GGATGATTAAGGAGGAGAAGAAGAAGAAGAAGAAGATGGCGTGGATGATTAGGGAGGAGAAGAAGAAGAAGAAGAAGAAGAAAGAAAATGGGGTGGTTGATGAGTGCCTTGCGAATTTCAAAAAAAAAAAAAAAAACAAGTGGGGGTGGGCGATGCTGTGAAGAAGGAGAAGAAGAAGAAGAAGAAGAAGAAGCTGCCTTTGTCTCACTGCTGCTGTCGTGCTGTCACACACAAGCAACCTGACTGGAGAAGGCTGAAAGTTGCAGCCTTTCTTGAATGGTGGAGCTCTCTCTCTCTCTCTCTCTCTGCAAGTTTCTTGCTTGCACCTCATCCCCTCCATGCTGCACATGTCTCCCTCCCAAGCACAGCAGCTTAGACTCACGGCTGCCCACACTAATGGCTGCCCACAATACCACCGCGAGAGAGTGAGAAAATTGTGGGCAGCCACAGTCTTAAAGGCCTCACCGACCGTGGGAACGTCAATGCCGACAGGTCGGCAGCCTCCCAAGCCGCACAGCGAACGGACGACCACCCCCCGACCGGCCTAGACCCCCAAAACGGGGCCTTTGCAGTTCGTGCCGCAGCCGCGGAAAAATGCGGCACCCCGACTGCAGCCGACATGTCGGCGTCGACCGACCGACCGGTCGGCGGGTCAGCGGCCGACGGATCGGGGGGGGCCGACGGCCAGGGTGCAACACTGGTTTCCATTGATTTCACGGATATGGGAAAGGAGAGTAAGAATCGTTACTCACAAGCGATGGTGATCGTTGACCGTTTTTCCAAATGATTGAATCTGATTCCATTGCCACCTCAAGCCCCAACTGAGCTTGTAATCGAAGAATTTAATAAGCATTACATTCCGCAATGTGGACCCCCGAAGACTCGTGTGAGTGGTTGGGATACCCAGTTCATTAGCGGGGATCGGAAGGATTTCACTACCCAAATCCACAATATGAAGCTCAATGGTTTGGCTGAGGAGATCAACCAGACTGTTACTAGACTTCTTTGAGGTCTTATCATTCTCGATCAGAACACTTGAGATGTAGAATTGCCAATTGAGAAGGGGTTCCACAACAACTCCATACACTCTTCCACTGGTATGACAACGAATCGGCTACAATACAAATGGAAGATACGCAATTTTTCCTATGTCCTGATCAGGCACCCAGTCTGACACCTGGTCGGCTTGGCGACGGCGCCATTTACGACCACTTGCTCAAAACCGTTGTTGCAGCAATGAACAAGCGTCGGGCGGCCATGATCAATCACGCTAACAAGAAGCGTTAGCCTGCACCATTTGAAGCGGGAATTATGTCTAGGTCAAGATGTCTGAGTTCTCCGAAGAAGAGGGAGTGTCGTGCAAACTCCTTCCTCTCTATTATGGCCCTTGAAAGGTGTTGAAGGTAGTGGGAAACGATGAATTTGGTCCTTCATATGTGATTGATGTGCCTCCTCATCTGCGCATGTATCCGGTCCTTCACGTGTCCAAATTGTTTCCGTATCGTGCTCCTGGTTCCTTTCCTTATCGTGAGCCGATGATCCCTCGTGCTATCGATGACGGCGATGAGATGACAGGATTGTGAGTCATACTGGTAAGGAACGTAACAGAATATCATGTTCAATCCTTGTAACACCCACTAGACGATTTGCACTGGATATCGAAGAAGGAACTGCTGCAAAGCACATCCAGAGTCCTTAAAACGTATGAGCGACAAATTGCTTCTGATGCACAGCCAAAGCTCACTGGAGCTCTTGGTGCTACAACTTACTTCCGATCCCTCTTTGCAATATCGGCTTATGATGCACTTTGCCGGGACCTCGCTCTTGAGGGGGGGATAGTGTAATGACCCCCCAAAACACAGACTGAGAACACTGGTGATTTCTGAGTTTTGCCGCTAGAATGAATGCCTTGCTGAGATTCCCGTGTTCTGCTGAGTTTTCTAAAAGTGTGTGTGTGTGTGTGCTTGCTGGTCTGCATGCCTGTCTCAGTGCTTGTTGGCCTGAGTGCGTGTGTGACCTGCAAGGGTATTTGTTTGTTTGGAGGCCCCGCAGAGCCGATACTTACCTGTGGCCGTGACTTCGAGGGTTGCAGCAGGGAAAGCACAAGTGGCGGGGGTAGGCCCGCGACACTTAGAGCAGCAGGAAAACACTCAAGTAGTGAGTAGGCCAGTACCACTCAAGTAGCCGTAGATATGTCGAGGACTGGAGGCCGAGCAGAAGAAGACAAAAGTTGGCATTTTTAGAGGCCCACTAGTTGGTAGGCTAGGTCTAGGCGAGTACCAGTCCAAGTAGTCTGAGTCTAGGGCCTATGTGGACGATATCAGAGCCTGCAATGATGTTTCCCTCCGAAAGGGAGGAGGTACCAGTTGCTTGGAGGTCGCGCGGCCTGGAAGTCACCGACCAAGAGGCAGGTAGGCCGCTACATCTTTAGGTAGAGCGGTGGGCTACCTCATTTGTGGTATGCAAGTTTGGGCGACATGCTGCTGGAGCGAGCGCCAGCGTTCTGGGTGTTGCTGGAAGACGAGCGCTGGTAGGAGCAGCGCTGGAAGGAGGAAGAAGGTCGGGAGCTTCCCCCTAAGCTATGGTGGAGCTATACCTGTACGAGGAGGAAGAAGGGGACTCAGGAAGAGCGGCGAGGTACCTACCTGGTTATGGTGGACGCCATCTTCGTCACCTTGTTAGGTGCTGCATCTGGAAGGCCCCAGCGGGCTTTGCATCACACCAAGAACGCTTCGAGGCAGAGTCAGGCATGGCAGCCTGAGCAGCAGCGGACATAGCTGCTTTGTGTTGCCTTTGCAAAGCAGGGCTAGGCCCTTAGTAGTCCGCCATAGCCTCGGCCTGACTGAAGAGGAGGGAGGAGGCCATGGCTATGGTGGACCTCTAGTTCGGACTTCGATTCTGGTTCAGCCATTCATCATTATTATTATTTATTGTTTGAATAAGAGTGGAGGCGG